CGTGAAATGCGGAAAGCGGTTCACTTTCCGAGAGCGGGAGCCCAGAAGGTTGCCAGAGGGGGGGCAGGAGTGGGAGTGGACACCAGTTGCGGAATGCAGGGTATCCTCAAACGACCACTTGATGAGAGGCACCTGAAGAGAAGACCCTCGCTGAGAGCGGGGAGGGGAGAGATGGGATACGGAGAGTCTGGCCGCGGAGAGGTCGAATCTGGGATATGGGATATGGACGTTAGAATCCAAAATCCGGAACCCAGGAGGTGCGAGGCATGCCATCTGGGAGCCTCCGCGAACCGAGAATTTGCCGACCCTGTCGGCGAGTGTGAGGGGCTTGTCTGTTCGAGTCGTCGTCTCCGTCAGTCGTCGTCTCCGTCGTCCCCTTTCCCTGCACCCTCCTCCTCAAGCCTGTCAGCGCGAGAAAAAATCTAGCAATGTCGCAATCGAGTCGTAGGGAAGCCCCTCCCTACCCTTTGATCCCATCCCCGTCGGAGGGGGGTCTGGGGGGGGTAGGAGGGGGGGTCAGATACGCGTTCCACCCTGGGGGTCCCTGGGCCTCAGAAAGTAACAAGACAGGCCACGAGTGCCCCAGAAGGCCCGCGAGACTGTCCAAGAGGGCACACAATCGCCAAACGATCGGTCCAAAACGCTCTCACGCCCTCCAGACTGCCCAAAAGGCCTCCAATACGCCCCAAGAAGCCTTCACGAGCACTCCCGCGAGGGCCCCAAGAGGCAAAATGAATTGATATTCCGATGTTGTTGAAAGGATTTGGGCCCTCTCGCCTTTTCCTCGTCCTCCCGCCGCTCCAAGACGACCCAAAAGGCCCTCAAGATCGCCCGCCGCCGCCGTTGTCGTCGTCTCCCTCCAGGGTCAGCGGCACAAGCCGTGAGGCTTTCGAATCCGGAATCCGGAATCCAGGAGGTGCAGTGCATCAGAGCCGGAACCTTTCGCAAATACAGAAGCCGGAATCCATGAGGTGCGATACAGCAGAGCCAAGACCCACAACGAATTCGGAATCCAGAACCCGTTATCAGCAATGCGGAATCCAGTAGGTGCTGGGAGCCTTCGCGAATCAGGAATATGGACTCTGGAACTGAGACGGTGCGATGCATCAGAGCTGTGACCCTCCGCGAATCCGGAATCTGGCATCCAGAATCCAGGAAAAGGGATGCATTTGAGCCAGGACCCACCACGAATCCGGAATCTGGCATTCGAAATCCAGGTGCCATGAGCCCGTTCTCCGATTGTTGGCGATAACGCCCGTTACCGCCCCCGCCCCTGGTCATGTCATGATTCGCGCTGGCGACGACGGCGCAGGCGCGACTCGCGACGTGACTGGCCCTTCCCCTAGGAAGGGGAGGGGGGGGGGGAACGGGGAGGGGGAGGGGGAAGGAGGGGGAAGGGGGAGGGGGAGGAGGAGGGGGAGGGGGGGGGGGAAGGGGGGGGAAGGGGAGGGGGAGGGAGGGGGGAGGGCAAGCTAGGTGCGCTCGCGTCATATCTGACGTCCTACCCCTCCCTCCCATCCCTTACCATGGCGCTGATTTTCTCTATCCGCGGACGCGTGTCGTAGCGGACCTGTGGCTCCGCGCGCGCGTGCGTAGTGGGTGGTGGTGCACGTGCGTGCGTGCGTGCGTGTGTGCGTGTTGTCGTGGTGGTGGTGGTGGTGGTGGTGGTGGTGGTGGTGGTGGTGGTGGTGGTGGTGGTGGTGGTGGTGGTGGTGGTGGTGGTGGTGGTGGTGGTGGTGGTGGTGGTGGTGGTGCGGCGCGGTGGTGGCGGGCGGATGGGCGCGCGAGAAAGAGGCCCGCGCTGGGGCGAGAACGCCATCCTGAACGACGGAGGCCAAACACCGATCCGAAAATGAGGCCCACGCTGCAGCGGGAGCACGATTCGGAACGATTCGGGAGCAGAAATGAGGCCGGCGCCTCAACGAGAGCAGCATTTTGGGAAAAAATGACGCCGGCGCCTCAGCGAGAGTCGTTTCCCGGGATTTCCCGGGAATCCTGTGTGTAAAAAAACAGTACGCGGAGGGTGCGCGGCCATCACCCGGACGCCATCAGGGAAGAGGGAGAGTATTTTCATATTGAGTAATTGTGGAGGGGGGGGGGGGAAGGGGAGCGGCGCGCTGGCGGACCCCAACGCGCGGGGGTCGGGCGAGGATCGGGCAGGTCGGAGGGCAGGAGAGCGGGGCGGGGCTGCGGGCGCGCGGGCGGGTGGCCCCTGCCGGGCGGCAGGGGCGGGCGGGCCCCGGCGGGCGGGGCGGGGCAGGCGGGCGGGCCCGAAGGGGCAGCGAGAAGGGGAGGGGGAGAGGAGGGGGGGGGGGGCGTGGAGGGAGCAGGAGGGGGGAGAGGGGGAGGGGGGGGGGGGGGGGGGGGGGGAGGGGGTGGAGTGGGGAGGGGGGGAAGGGGGGGGAGCAGGAGGGGGGAGGGGTGGAGGGAGCAGGAGGGGGGAGGGGTGGAGGAAGCAGGAGGGGGAGAGGGGGGGGGCAAGCTAGGTGCGCTCGCGTCATATCTGACATCCTACCCCTCCCTCCCATCCCTTACCATGGCGCAGATCCCCTCTCTACTCGCTCAGTCGGATGTCGAGCAGGGCAATGATCCCGAAAGGGTACGCGATGCATTGTAGAGCACGGCATGGCAGGGCGTAGAGGAGCACCGCAAAGCGTAGTATCAACCTAGCATTGCATTGCATGCCGTGGCATGGCACGGGAAATGACTCCAGCGCTGCAGCGGGAGCACGAGTCGAAACGAGCGCAAGCGCGGAAATGAGGCCAGCGCTGCAGCGGGAGCACGAGTCGGAACGAGCGGAAGCACGGAAATGAGGCCAGCGCTGCAGCGGGAGCACGATTCGGAACGAGCGGGGCCCGAAAATGAGGCCGGCGCCTCAGCGAGAGCAGCATTTTGCAAAAAAATGCAAGCGAAAACCCAACTCCGGGGAAACCTGTGTAAAAAAAAACAGTACGCGGGAGGGGGGTCGGACACTTTCAAACCGTCATCAGGGGAAGAGGGAGAGTAGTATTCATATTGAGTAATTGTGGAGGGAGCAGGAGGGGGGAGGGGTGGAGGGAGCAGGAGGGGGGAGAGGGGGGGGAGGACGATGGAATGGAGCTGCCCTGGAGGCGAGGTCAAGCCTCCATCAAGCCTCGGGCTCCGACGCGCGACGTCCTGCGGCGCCGCCGCTGCCGTCTCGGGCTCCCTCTCGAGGGCCCGGCGGGGGAGAGGGGGGGAGAGCAGAGGCGCGCGCGCAGGCAGCGAGCACGCACGGCGCACGGTGGCCCGGAGCGGAGCGTGCACGCGCAGCTCGCAGTGCGTGCACGGGTACACGCACAGGTCATGGGGAGGTACACTACGATTGCATACAGTCGGGGCGTTGACCTAAGGAACCCTAAAAAAGGAACGAGGCCCCTTTTTTCCATAAGTTAAACTTCGATGTCCGATGGAAAACATAAGGAAAACCTTGGGCAAGGTGTGGAACAACTAAGGAACGCCGAGCCCCTCCCCAACGAAAAGGGTTCCTTCTTCAGGGCCCCGACTGTACACACTGTTGCGAGTGGGGAATCTGAAGAGAAGTCGCGACTCGGCACCGGCTCGCCGCCACTCCGAGCATGACAGCGGCCGCTCCATGAGCAGGCTGCGCCCCCCGGTGGCATGCGCAAGTACGACGGATCCCGATAGTTGAGCGTTGTGGGTGCAAAACGACTGTAGAAGCATGCCTGGCACACATGATTACTGGAGTGTTGGAAATCCGTGCGCCTTCTCGAGAACTGCCGTCAGTGTTGCTCGTCATCCTACTGCGGGTGGGCACCAGAACTCCCGCGGATGCGGTGCCATCACGGGTGTGCTCGTCATGTCACGCCGATGTTTCGGCGGCGTCGCCCCACCACGAGAGAAGCTGAGCGAAGGGGAATGGAGTGAAGATGAGCATTGAAGAGATGAGGAGAGCAGACGGGAAAAGGAAGGGATGGCACGGGAGGGAAGAGGGGAGGAAGAAAGTGAGGGGAGGGGTAGGGGTAGGGGAGGGGGAGGGGGGGGGAAGGGAAAAGGGGGCCAGCTAGGTCGGCTCGCGGAATATCTGACATCCTACCTCTTCCACCCATCCCTTCCCAATGCGCCGATTTCTTTTCAATCCGCGGGCGCGTCATAGCCGACCTGGAATTCCAGAAAGGACTCCATCGTGTTACGCGCACTCGGGAAAGGGGAGCTGCGTGCATTGGAGGGGGAGGTGGCGGATGATTAGGATGAGGAGCAGAAGGGACAAACAAAAAAAAAAAAAAAAAAAAAACGGTTAGGAAGGAGGACGACGAGGACGAACAGCAGCAGCATGAGCTGGAGTAGAAGGAGCGCGAGGAGCAGGAGAACCAAAGGAAGGCGGAGGAGGGGGAAAGACGGGGGCGACAACGATGAGGAAAGACTCGGATCCAGACAGGAGACCCGCGCTGGGGCGAGAGGGCCCTTCTGAAAGACGGGAAGAAAGCGCCGGTCCTAAAATAGCGCCCAAGCTGCAGCGGCAGGACCACTTTGAAGGACCGAAATCGACGGGATCGCAAAATTGCACAAAAAAAAGCATTGGAAATCTTCGGTGAATGCGCGGATGGAGGCGGGCCGCTCCCTCGCCATCTTCCAGGGACACAGAGGAATAGAGTGAGTACTCAGATGGAAAACTTCTTGACCCCGCGTGTGTGGACCAGGGAAAGAGAAAGGGAGGGGGAAGGATAGGGGAACAAAAAGCGACATAAACATAAAAACTCGGGGGTCCGCGCGGATTTCTCGGATCGGCGCTGGGGCCCCCCGGCGGCGCCTCCGGCGCCGCCCCTGGCGCGCTCCGCGCGCCAGGGAGGGGGGTCCAGCGCCGATCCGAGAAATTCGCGCGGACCTCCGAGTTTATGTTTATGCCACTTTTTGTTCCCCTAAAGGAGGGCGGGAGGGAGGGGAGAAGGGCCAGGAGGAGGGGGAGGCACGGGGGGCAAGGGGACAGGCCGCGAGGCGCTCTCGGGCGGGCGGCGGGTGGCCTTTCGCGAGCAGTTCAAGCTCGGTCATGGGCATGGGCTTGATCTCCTCGGCGGAGGGGGGGAAGCAGAGAGCCGGAGAGGAGAGACATGCGAACCCTACCCCTACCCCACCCTCCCCCTCAGAGGTCGTGGGGGGTAGGGGTAGGGTTCGCATGTGGCCCCCTAGAGGAGGGAGGGAGGGCAAGCGGGAGGGAGATGACGAGAACAGGAAGAAGAGGAGGCACACGGAAAGAAGTGGGGGGATGTGAAGGCGAACGGGAAGGGACGAGGGGGGAGGACTTTTCCCCCTGCCAGCGGCGGTGCCCGACCCAGAAGGGAGCCTGAGAACTTGGAGGGACGGAGAAGAACAATATGACAGAGACCATGAAGAGGACGAGGAGGAGGAGGACGAGGACGAGGAGGAGGAGGAGGAGGAGGAGGAGGGAAAGGAGGAGGAGGACGAGGAGGAGGAGGACGAGGAGGAGGAGGAGGCGGAGGAGGAGGAGGAGGAGGAAAAGGGCGACGACGACGACAATGAAGGGTATCGAGTATCGAGGTATTCGGCGTGGTCGAAGACGAAGATACAAAACTACTGGCGGACTGCCCAGCTTTACTGAGGAGCCTTGGACACTTCACCTTCTCCAAACTATCGAAGTACTCGCCTCGATGCGAGGGGATCTGGAAGACGCATGGCTGAAAAAGCCTCGATTCTGCCGGGGGACGCACCGACGGGATCGACCGACCCCCCAGCAATATAGAGCCGCCCCCCTCAGATGCATGTAGTACCAAGGCTCACAGGCTGGAGACAATCCGACTTCCACCACGCCAACCTGGTAGAAAGGATGGCTGACCCCTTTGGACCTGAGACACCTCCCACGATCATCACACAGGCCGTGGGGCGAGCCGAAGCAGGCGAGGAAAGATGGGGCAGGAAGGGGGGGGTGGGTCCTTGCTTCTGACGGCGCCATTCCCACCCCGCCCCTCGGCCTCCACCGCGCCGGGCGCGGAAGGCAGGAGGCGGTCGCGGACGAGATGGGCCTCCTCTCGGCCTTTGAAGGCGCGAAACCGCGCCCCCGTCGGGGGCGCCCGACCGGCTGGGCCGCCTCCGCGACCACAAGATCTGCAATCAAGTTGCCCTGCGCAAGCCAAGACGAAATGCTTGTTGTGGCCATCCCATCAGCAGACTGGTGAGAACCGACGAACAGGGGGCCTCCTGGATGACGATACAGCCCCGCATACAGCCCCTGAGCAACCGATCAGTGTCCGCAGCATAGCCGAGGAAGCCAGCGGTGTATTCAACTGCCAGAACCAGTGCTCTGAGTTCGCTCCTGGAAACCGACCGAACCTCACCGCGCAGTGAACCGCCCACCGATATACTGACCACGCACCGGTCGAAAAAAACAAAGCAAGACTCTGCCGATGCCGACTCGCGTGGACCTCGGGTAGCCTGATGAGCTGCCGCCGCCGGCGCCATTGAAACAATGGCGTGGTAACAAAATTGGCCATTCCCAAGGCTCGGCCATTGCCCAGTCGCCTCGGGGCGCAGGAACCTCGGCCCCGGCAGCTGGGAGAAACCCTCGCAGCAGCAAGCGGGCCCCTGCACGCGCCTCCGCCGCGAGAGACTCTGAGTCCGATTGCGCCTTGCGCCTGCGACGTTCAGAACAAACCCAACACAACGAAACGACGCACAGGCTCTGAGAGGCAACTCGGGCAAAGCACCTCTGATACGCCCCTGCAATCGAACGCGAGGCCACGATCCGCCCGCGGCAAGAGACGCACGCAGCTGGCCCAGGCTAGCCCCGCGCGGGACAACAACATAAAATCTGCAGCAAGCAGCAAGGCAAGAAGTTGCCCACCCCCCACTGCGCCCCCTCTCCGCAATGATGTTGGGCCGCTCGTTTCAAGAGCTGACTCCAAACAGAGACCGCGATGTCATCCAGGCGGGGGGCAGGACTATCCTCGATCAAGATTCTAGCGTGCTCCGAAGGCGGAACACGCCGAGCAGCCACGCCACCGCATCCTTCTTCTGGGGCGCCCCAGCGGCGAGGGCTCGATGGGGCCCCAACCTGCCTGCGTCAAAATAGGCACAACTGCACCTGTCGAGCCTCGAACGCATCTAGGCCCCTGGTTCTCGGAGGCGCGGCGAGAGCGATCGGGCATAAGCGGCCCCGCCTGGGGCGCGCCTGGACGCATCGTCGGAAGCGGCATTCACTCGCGGAGCTAGATGTCAAGACAGGCACGGGGCAGCGCGCGCGCTGGGCCCCCATCCAGGGCAACGCGCATCCAATGACGCGGTTAAGCACCTCCCTCTTACCAGCACCGCATACTGCCCGCAGCTGTCGCCTTGCTCGAACCATGGCAGCCGCGAGAACACCCAGCAACTGGCGCGCGTGAAGCTGGGCCGCCATCGCGCCGACCCTCGCCAGCTTACTGGCAGAATTGCACTTGCAAGCTGCACGCGCGAATCCAATAATTTTGCGACGCACAGCCCCGCAGGTAGCTGGTCCGAGACTGATGCCCTACTTCAAATGCAGCGGCCCAAAGCTTCTGAGAGTCACGCTTCGCGTCGCCAGTGCAAGAATACGAAATAAGACGACCCATCGGTGATACGGCGAAACAACCACGCTGCAGCGCGCGACGCGCGTCAAGGGCCGGCCAGCATAGACCTTCGCAATTGGCGTCGCGGCGCGCGCACTCGCTGGGAGAGGTCGTCAAGCCAGATTGGCGATTCAACCCCTCGATGCGCAGCGATGCTTCTGGAACGAATAAAAACGGTTCGATATCCGGCAAATCGCGATGCCCCCCGTAACCCCTGCACAATGCTTCGCGCTGGGACAATGGGCTCGGCGGGAGCTCCGCCCCGGCCCGCCGACGGCGCCCTCGCGCGCCGCGCCGGCTCTGAAAGACAAGCGGGAAACCAATGCGCAAAGCTGCTCGTCTTTCATAGAAGCTACTAAATCGCACCATGAAACCCTTTGGCACCCAGAGGCCCGCGCCCCGATGGGGCCCCCAGAACACGCGAAACTGCCACCTCGCAGACTCGCGCAAACGCTTCACGTGGAGCAGCGTCACCTGAAATGGCTGCGCCCAACAGGAGAGAAGCTCCGACTCCGCGGCCCAAGTCTCGATCAAAGGTTCGCGCGCTGAGCCTCGCCACCATCGCGAGGAGGCGCCCCGGCCCCCCGAAGCCCCCCTTGGAATCACCCCCCAATAATAAGATCAAGGCCGAGCTGGCCACGCGACGGGCAACCTCGATTGCGCTGCAGAGGGCGACGCCAAGCTGGCGCTCGACGCCCGTCGGTGACAAGACGTCAACTGCCATCCCCGCTCGAGGCTCGCAGACGCATTGAGCAGGCCGCCCGGCGAATCTCTGAGACGCGAGCAGGCCCAGAGAACCCTGGCGAGCCTCATCTCGGGCTTCAGCGCGCGCTTCCACAGCTCTAGTTTCTCCCAGTTCCCCTGGGAGCAATAAGTCATGAAAAAACTGAGCCTTGGAGCCAGTGATATCCAGCGGGTGGGAAAATCACGCACCACCACCCCCCAAAACAAAATGCAACCCACGCAGACGGCAGCGGCCCCCGCCGCACCGCGCGACGCAGAACCCCCGAGGCCGCGGCCGCGACTATCCAGCCACGAAGCTCGGCAGTGGAAGCGCGCTGGGCAGCAAATCCACATTGCGCCAAAAATCTCCCCCGCTGCTTTCGCGCGGAGACTCCCCCCGCGCACGTGGCCCAAGGCCCCTCGCCTGAAAAAAACTGCCCCCCCCTCCCCCCCCCCCCCCCCCCCCCCGCGGGCCCCGATGGGCCGCATCTGGAGTTCCACCCGCCAACGGGTGCCAACGAGCGATTCCCATATGCACATGATGGATAATGACAATGAGGGCCCGGCGATCATCCAACCCCCGCAACACTGCGCGGACCCTTTCACGCTAAATGCAGCGACAACCACGCGCTGCACTAGTCACCCCTCGTCGAGGCCCCCCCCCCCGACCACGCGAGAGCCATGCCCTCTGCTTCAAACCGAAGGAAAGCCGCCCAGGCCACGATGCCCGTGCACCGCCGCGCCCAGCGCCGTCGCCCAGGAAGCGCACAGGGCCGCAGCAGGGCCCGCGAGCGAGGGCGCAAGACAAGCGGCCACGGACGAAGCCAAACGGACACGGCAGACACTGGAGCTCGGGAACACACGCAACTGCAATCCTGAACAGGACCGATAGCTCGGCGGGCATAAGGAAGCCGACCTCGGCGTTCCCCAAATCTACTGGATGGGGCGGGCGGGGGGGGCCCTGGAATTCGCTGGGCAGGGCGATCCACGCAATGGAAACCGATGGCATGCAAGAATCCAAAAAGTGGAGCAAAGCCCCATTCAGCGCCCGGATCGCGCCGCGGCAACTTAAAAACTCGCCCGCGCACCGGAGTGCCAGACAAAAGCGCGAGTGATGGGCCCCGCCCCAGCGGGCGCAGTTGCCCGCGACGGCGCGGCCAACAACGCTCGCAACCTCGGCCGCCCCCACAACGTGGCAGGGACTCACGCCAGCGCTACTGGGCGACTCAGACTCCACCCTGCCGGCCCTGCCACCCGCGCACGCCCGCCCTCGCCCGCGACGGCGCGGCCAGGGTTGCACGAAGCGAGGATAGGGTCGCCGATGGCGCGATGCACATCTGCGGGCTCCTCAGCCTCCTCCAGACCTGCCTCGGACTGCGCCCCTCCTCCCACGCCAGCGTGTCCGAGTGCGCGCGTCCTCGGCAGGTCCCACGTTAGCGTCAGGACAGAAGTTGGGCCCGTTGCCCCGCAGATCCTCGTCTCCGACGCCATCAAAGCGATGACCGAAGTGATCCAATTCAGGCCAAGAAAGTCCGCGACTACCTGGATATGAAACTGTAGCGGGCGCGCCCGCGGAGCTGCCGCCAGCTGGCCCATCTGCGGAGGCTCGCGAAACATATCTCAACGCTTGTATGTTGCAAGCTGAGATGAGACTGCACGCTCGGTCTTCGCCATCTGCGAATTTGACCCGGGAATCGGCTCTCTGGCTGGCCTGGCCATCTGAGGAGGCCTCGTGAGCAGTCGACGGCGCGAGCAGTCGACGGCCTCGCGATCGCGGGGCGATAACTGCATGGGCAGCTTGCACCTCGACTGGGAAACTGCTGCATCACTGCGCACAACATTTTATACGCGGCTCCCGTCGAGTCCAGCATCGCATGTGTAACCAATGGGGGGCCTTCGCGATTTCGCCTCCGAAACGTGCCAAAATCAGACGCGGCAAGAGTGGTGCATGCTATGTTGAAGTCGCCAACCACCACCCATGAGAGCTGTAAGGAGGTTACACATCCTCAGACCCTAGAGAAACAAGCGATGTTGTCGTCGGAGATGGAGCCGACGCGAAACCATAAAAGCCCGTGAAGTGGGCAACGGCAGCAGCGAAGCCGTCTGCAGCCGACAGGCCGTCGACTTGATACCCTGGAAGTTCGTGGAGCTGGAGGACGAGCGAATGCACCTGCAAGTTGCCAGGCGAGTCGGTCCACTCTCCACCTTCGGTGGCCTTCTCAAATCAGTTGTCAGCGCTAGCGCGCTGCCCCTACCAGTGCTGCGCGTAGGATTGGCGATGAAGCGGGCGCACGCTTGACGGGATGTCGCAGACCATTCTCGCGGAGCAATACGGGAGACATGTCTCGGCAAGGCAGAAAAATATAATGTTTTTTCTTTTCGCAGGCACTACGACTGAAATTCAACGCGTTCCCCCCCCCCATGGCTGCGAAATTGCCAAACAGAAGTTGCGCATATTCCTTCTGGTCCGCTGGCACTGGAACCACATCTAGTCACAGGTCGGGATCATCGGCGTCCGTGATCGCTGTCAACTTCAAACGCTGCTCTGTCTAAGATTTGGCCGCCGACAGATGAGCTGCCTCAGCCTCCGCACGATCCCCATGGGCCTCTCTCTGCCGGTGCTGCCGGGGCGCCCTCGGCAGCCTGAGGCGCCCTCGGCGCGCTGTCCTCGGCGGGGGGCTGGGCGCACGGGCCGCCGCCCGCGAGAGCACCAACGTCACCGTGCCCATGATTATGAGGCTCGTCGACCGTGCGCCACTTCTTCGCGTTCCGCTTGGAGATGGCCTTCCTCACCGGCTCCACGTTGGCCAACATCGCCGTGACCTCGCCAGCATTGCTGTCCAGGTTGGCCCAGGCAGCCCGCAGCTCGGCGTGGATCTCGCGAAACTGCTCCTTCTCCGACGGCTCGCACTCCAACTCGTCTATGTTGTCGAAGACAGACTTGTCGTACACTCGCTCGAATGGTTTCGTCGACTTGTCCTTGGACTTGGACTCAGGCGTCTTCTGGCTGACACCCTCAAGCATCGCAAGCACCCGAGCGGCGTGCTGCTTGACGATGGCCGCCTTAGATAGCTCGTTCGCAAGCTTGGCCTCCTTCTGCTCAGAGGCCTCGAGTTACTTGCGGATACGTACCACTCACTGACTGGACCGCCTTGGAATGGCGATTGCCGATGTCCCTCATGCGCCATCAGCACGCTGGAGAGAATGAAGCACATCTTGGGGTCTCCTCTGCATGTCCTCCTCAGACTTGAGCTTTGTGAGCTGCTGCGTAAAGGACTCATTCAAGTTACGGTCCTTCGCCGATGCCTCTGCCCGCTCAAGGAGAGAACGAACAGATACTTCCCCAGACCCACGCGCGCCACTGGCTCCTTTGGAACTCATGGGCGTGGAAACGTTGATGCCTGCTCGACTAGTCCTGTTCCCCTCGGTGAAAACGACATGCTTGAGGATATCGTATACCTTTAGGCTGAGGAGGAGGGCCCGTCTGATGCTTGGACTTCGGCACGTAGTGTTTCACCTTGCGTCCACATCGATTGAATGTTCTGTCACGCTGCTCGAGTTTCTCATTAGATTCAGATTGCCCATAAGATCGGCACGTTGGCCAAGCGGCCGTAGACATGGACATGACAGGGACTCCTCGGATTCAGTCCTGCTATGCTTCGGGCTGGAGGCGGGTACCTCACTCCCGACAAAAGCGGTGTGCCTCAAGCACCGCGGGGAGGTACCGAGGTTAGGCTGGTGAGCTGCCAACATGGTGCTCGAGCCCAAATTGCTTGAGAGGGGGAGGAGGAGAAGGAGGAGGAGGAGGAGGATGGGAGGGAGGAAGGGAGGGAGGGAGGGAGGGAGGGGAGGACGTAGAGGGAGGGGGAAGAAATGAGAGAAGGGAGGGGAGGATAGAGGAGCTCGCTGATGATAACCACGACGACGCTGGGAAGATTTGAGGAGGCAAAGAGAAGTTGGAGGTGGATTAGGAGGTTTTAGGTCTGAGGTTATGGTGTGTTGTTTTGAAGCGCGAGAGGAAAAGGAGGACGAGGAAGGCTGGAAGATCTTCAGACGCAGGCAGGCGGTATCTGACGACGCACCTGTACGCCAGGCTCGTCTCCTGCCCTGGCGTTGGTTTCTGACCCCGCGTAGATCCTTCCGCCTTGAACGATCGGCAGCTTTTTGATCGCCAGATCGCTCCATGTTGGCCGACCCTGGGGCACCGGCGGCGTTCCACCTTGCACGCCCGCGGCGGGGTCGACGCCGCGTCGGCACGACGCGAACCTGCCGTGCATCGGATCGCCACCGAGCAAGCGAGCGCGCATCGGGGATCTTCTAACCCGGGTCAATCCAGACCCGGGTCAGCAAGAAACCAAAAACTGCAATGCAGGAGAAACAAACTGCAACGCAGGTCCTCGCAAACCCGGGTCAGCCAATAGGCGCGGCCGCCTCGCGGCCACGAACGGCTCCCTAACCCGGGTCAGCCAGAGGGGGTCTTCGCAGGATCCTGCAGGATCCGGCGCCGTGGCTGACCCCCGTTTGCATTGACCCCCGTCTCAAGGCTCCCGAGCGCTCCGTCGGTCCGACGGACCGGCCCCTACTCACGAGGGGACAGCGCGGGCGGGCTTGGGGGCCCCGGGAGGAGCAAGGGTCGGGCCGCGGCGTGGGCGGAAGGTCCCTCCGGATCTTGGGGGAGCGGCAGTCGGACGGGTGGGATCGAAGGATTGCAAAAAAAACAAGAATTGCAACAAAAAAAAACCTTCGTGGATTGCAAAAAAAAACCTAGGATGTTTTGCAATCCTAGGTTTTTTGGCAATTCTTCGTGCAATCCTTCGAGTCAGACGGGAGACGGAATCGAAGCCGTGCAGCCGTGTCTAAGGTTGCTGAGATGAGCAGGCGGCCCGAAGCCAGTTCGGTCGAGCTATCGCTCGGCGTCGGAGGCCTCCGAAGCTTGGGAGGCCTCCTCAAAATCCCCACCCAGGGGCTCTTCGGGCCCCTCCTCGGCCTCCTTCCGCAAGCGTCGGAGCCCATCAGCGCGGATGGCTGGAAGGTCTCCCTCCAGGAGGCCGAAGGCCCTCAGCAACGACGATCAATGGAGAGGAAGTATGTTGCCAAATAATTGCCAGATGTCAAAAACAGGTCTCAACCATGTTTGACACGTGTAGAAAGCATGTCTCAAGCATGCTCAGAACCTGTCAACACACACTTGTTGCTCCATGATGGGATTATTAGGATGTCCATTGTCATGGCATCCACAAATCTAGGGAGGACGTGGGCAGCCGTATCTGATCGCCGATGCCCCTGACCTGGACCCCCCCGCCTCCACCCGCCCGGCCCGGCGACCCCGTTCTCGTCGATCATGCTGTGCTGCAGGTCGCACGCGTCCTCCGCCATCTGCTGCACGTGCCGCAGCACCCTCGGCACCCATGATTTACCAGCCTGGAACATCTCCCTATCCCCAAGATTGACGCGCCAAAAAGCGGTGACAATCTTAGGGATTCGCCCTGGAAAACTAAGGGAATTCCTAAGATTGGCATCGTGATGAGGAGGTGCCCAGCATAGGGATATGTTCCAGGCTGGTAAATGATTGAGCATCGCTTCACCGATCCCTTGGCCTGGGCCCTGCTGACCGATGCACCCCCGAGCTGGGGATGTGGGCGGCCCCCCTCGGGATTCGAGGGGCGTATCCCCGACTGGGGTGGTGGGACGGTGGGGATCGGGATGGGGACGGGAATGGGGATAGGGATCGGGTAAAGGATACTGAATGATGCGACCAAGCAGGGAAACACGAATCGGGCAGAGACAATCCACAAGCAAATTTGCTCCTCGTCTGGGTCGCTGGCTGCGGCCTGGCGGCCTCGACGGTAACGACGACGACGACGACGAGGAACGGGGAAAAGTTGTTCAGTAGTCGTTCACTTCACGGCGGGGCACTGCGACCCCCTGGGTATTTCTTGATCGCTTGGTCGCGCGAAGGAACCAAGGACGAACGGAACGCGCTGGCCAGTTGCCACAACGAGACCTCCAGGCCTCTCGAAGACAGATCGTGCAAGCAGCTGGTCGCCGTGCTCAGCGTCTCGGTTGTCGGGCCCCGGGGCCTTCAGAAACGAGCTCGGGAGCAAAAAAGCCGGCTGGACCTGAACTGAACAAATCATGACGTCGAGACCTGGGCAGGGTGCAATCTGAGTTGGGAAATGTTAACTATACAATGGCACCGACCCGGCCGGGCCACTCCCACGCCAAGGATCGGCTCATATGCCTGCCTGGCCAGGCAGGAGGGCGTGAACACTGACCTGAGCCCAGGCCCAGAATGAGCCTGGCCAGGATCTGGGTAAACCGGAATGTGCATCTGCTACTGTACCTCTGGCACGTAGCGGGATGTCCTCGGTTTTGTTCGTCGCCCTCGGGCTCAAATGCCATTGCCCTCGCAGTTGCGGACAAGAGAGAGGGGGCGGCGAGGTCGTGGGCAGTTTGCGAGGCTACACATCATACAACAAACACGCCGAAGGCACCGATGTTTCGTCAAAACAATGTGGGAGGATCGCGTGTGGGTCGCGGGAGGGTCCCGGGTGGGTCGCGGGCGTGTCGCGGGCGACGACGACGACAACAGCAAACAACAAACGACAAACGACAAAAGGAATCCTCACCACGGAGGTCAATCTTAGGCACGCACCGAGGGATGGTGTAAGACCTCTGGGCCCCCTCAGTCTGATAAACAAGAATGACCGTATGCTCGAGCACCCAAAACTCCCTTCCTTAGCGCTTCAGGGCGCTGTGGGGCGAATCGCGCAGCCTTTCTCGAAGCCCCAGATCATGGCTGGGAGTCCCGGTTCGTCATACCCGAAGCTGGCCCGATGAAGCCCTTCGGGCCACATCGGAAAGCCATGGGGGCTGTCCCAAGACGGCAAAATCAGACAAGAAACAAACACAAAAACGCTTCCTCGGTCTCTCACACACACACGCACACACACAGAAGGCCCAAGAGGCCGCCGAGCCGGCCCAAACCCAAAAAACACGTGACGCGAACAGGCCAAGGCAGCATGGTTCGAAATCCGCCACCTCCTCCCCAAGAGGCGCCCAACGCGGCCAGTCCTGAGCCGTCTGGGGAGTATCGTGTACCTGCTATGGGGCGCGCTTGGACGACAAAACGCATCGTCGATTGCAAATATATCGTTGTTGACTGTCGGGGACCTTCTTATTATCCTGACTATGCCCAGGATTGGCCTCACTTCGGCGTCACCAGGGTTCATGCAGATGGATGTCCAAGTTCCCTCAATTTTCGTTGCCCGTCGCCATCGGCGCCAGCATCGTCGTCAAGCTGCGACTGGCTGCTGCTGCTGCTGCTGCTGCTGCTGCTGTTGCTGCTCCTGATCCTCCACCTTCTCCCCAAGCGCTAGGTCCCACGCAGGTTGGACTCTTGGCTACAGTCCATCTGCTTCAGCAGGCCCTCCGCCAGCAAAATCGCGCTCGCTCAGGAAACAGGCATGGGGAGTACATCAAACCAGAGTGCGGAGCAAAATGATAGAGCTGCAAAGCAAAGGTAAGAGCAGCAGCCGCCAGAGAGGTGCAGCAAACGAAATCGCCCCCAAGAAATGCAAGGCAACACTTCGCAAGACTTGGAAGCCTGTAACATGCGGGATAACACACTTGCAACACAAGTGCTGGCCATATGGTTGTCACATCAGCTGGCGAGATCGGCACGGTCGGGGATCACCCTGGCATAGCTACGTCGGATACGCACGCATGGGAAAAAACTGTGGCACAACTGCTTGAGCCGTTAGCGGAGTAGTCGTTAAATTGATCGGTGGCCACATTGAGAGGCCATGTGGACGCGGGACCCTGACGCGATCGCTCGTGATCCCAAGCAAAAAGTCAAACAGCTGCAACCACGTTGGCTGATTCCACACAAGATTTGGCGAGTACGTGGATGATGCGTCTATGGTTCAATGTCCTCGCGAGCAGGAGAACAGAGAAGAGGAGAAAGTGGACTGGAATGATGCGACGCCGGCCGACATTATGGTGAAATGCCGATGCCGCAAGGTTCCTGCAAACCTATGGAAGAACCGGAACGGATAAGCGCCGAAAAATCAATCGAATGGGAATGGGCATGGCCGGAAACGCTGGCCATGGCACGGTCGAAATCAAAATATTCGAATCGCGTCTTCAACGGGCTTCAAGACAAAATCTGGGCGAAATGCAAGTGTTGTCCGACTGCCCCACCCTATGTGTCACGCCCCCTCTGCACGAAATTCTGGAGGTTCGCTATATCGTCCCCTTCGCTGGGTTGCCTGGATCCGTTATCAGTGATTCCACATGTAGATTTCCGACATGTGAACTAGCATCGCTCTCACGGGCACTGACCCCATCGCTGTGCTAAACCATTGCGGAGGTGTCTGCATGGATGTCATGGTAATGTTCCTGGTCTGAGAAGGGCTACATGTTTGTTCAACGAATTCTGCACGGAAAGGCCAAATCCAAAGCAACTTGCTGGAAACTTATATATATATATATATATATATACACACACATATATATATATATATACACAAACAAACAAACAATTTGATTAAGACCATTGGTTCCCGTGCTCGGGCGGATCGCGGGGGGACGCCCGCCAGATGGAAACACACCACGGCGGCGACGGCGATTAGCGCTGGCACCTGGCCGCCAACTGGAACGCGACAGGCGCGACGCGAGCGGAGACGCTTCAGCTGAGGGGGCAGCAGCGCCTCCGCTACAGCGGGGCGCCTGGACCAACATGGCTACAGACAGGTTCAAAGGAGGAGGCGGGAGGAAGACGCGCCTCACAGCTGGCGGGCGGCGCCGACATGGGGCAGGCGGCAACGGTTCGTCCTTGTCCTTCTCCCCTCCATTACAATATGTTCGGTGGGGAGGTGCTGCGTGGACCCACTGTCCTCGAGGACCACGATGGCATCAGGGCCGACGAAGTGACGCCCGACGCGCGCGCGCGCGCGCGCTGCGGATGCCCCATGAGCGTGGGGATGGCCGCCGTGGACGACGACGACGACGACGACGACGAACACGCACTGCGGATGCCCGATGGGGGGGATACTGGTAGGCCTGCCGTAGAAGTCGACGACGACGGCGCCGAGAGACGACGACGCGCTGTTTTGGCCAACTGCAGTCCACAACGGCGACGACGACGACAACGACGGCGACGACGGACGACGACGCGCTGCGGATGCCCCATGGGGCGTGGGTAATTGTAGCGTGGTGTGATAGACGACGACGACGACGACGACGACGACGACGACGACGACGACGACGACTGTGGCGCGTCAGTACTCGGATGTGTACGATTCCTGAAACAAATCCTGAACGGAAGGCAACTGTTGTGAGGCTACAGCGACCCCCAAAAAAATAGCGCCGGGCGATATCTTTTCATCAGCCACGTGGTGGAGATCAACTGTTAATCACACGCTGGCATGAGCCCCCGTCGGCGTGCATACGAAAGGACATCCGACTGGGCAACGAGACCGTTCGAGCGGACAGCATGGCTCAAAACAAAAGCTGAGACCGTGCAGGGACATAGGGGAGGACCCTAAATACAAACAGTTGCAAAAACATGAAGTGCTGAAGGTCCGCGCATGATTTGTGGGTCGGCACTGAACCCACCTGCTCCCACACTTCTGGCGGCGCCTTGGGCACCACTCCCGGAGCGCTGCGCGCGCTGGAGAGGGGGTATGGGGGAGGGTCGAGACACTCCCTCCCCGCCCGCAAGCCGTCTCGCTCACTCCCACCCGCCCTCCCAACACATACGCAGCACCCGAGCCTGGCCCGAGCCGCAGCATATTCAGCAGCCGTCTTTGGATGGGCAGCTGCTGGGGGCGCCGCCGCCGCCTCCGCCGCCGCCGACGCCGCCGCCGCCGCCGCCACCACCGCCGCCGCCACCGCCGCAGCCGCCGCAGCCGCTGCCCCCGCCGCACCCGCCGCAGCCGCCGCCGCCGCCAAGTGTATGTTGCATTGTTTTTTTGACAGGGATGGTGGGGGGAGGCCGCATCGGGTTCGCTGCGCATGCTCCGAATCTAAAAACAAAGTGCGTGTTGTATTATTACCTAACAGCGAAGACTGATAGGTTTCGAGTGGTGTCAAAAGAGAGCACATCTTGACGCCCCAGGAGGGTCTGGGCGGGATCCGGAAAAAACCGGACAAAAGGGTCAGCCCCAGAAACCCTTAGGAATCTCTAGAAATTCTTAAGAATGTTTAAGAATCCATTCCCAGAACACAATTCCCAGGCCACATTTTGAAAGCCCGGAACAAATTTTAAGTCCCTTCGTGTTCTTCGTGTTCCCAGAACACCATGCCCAGGCCACATTTTGAATGCCCAGAGCCAACTGTAGGCCACTTTGTGTTCTTCGTGCTCCCAGAACACCACTCCCAGGCCACATTTTGAATGCCCGGAGCCAACTGTAGGCCACTTCGTGTTCTTCGTCTTCCCAGAACACCATTCCCAGGCCACATTTTGAATGCCCGGAGCCAACTGTAGGCCGCTTCGTGTTCTTCGTGTTCCCAGAACACCATGCCCAGGCCACATTTTGAATGCCCGGAGCCAACTGTAGGCCACTTCGTGTTCTTCGTCTTCCCAGAACACAAATCCTGTGCCATAAATAGAATGCCCGAGCTGAAGCAAGCTGAGGCCGAGGCAGGCTGCGGCCGAGGCAGGCTGAGGCTGAAGCTGAGGCACGCCGAGGCAGGCTGAGGCTGAGGCTGAGGCAGGCTGAGGCTGAGGCAGGCTGAGGCTGAGGCTGAGGCAGGCTGAGGCCGAGGCAGGCTGAGGCTGAGGCAGGCTGAGGCTGAGGCTGAGGCTGAGGCTGAGGCTGAGGCTGAGCTGAGGCTGAGGCTGAGGCTGAGGCTGAGGCTGAGGCTGAGGCTGAGGCTGAGGCTGAGGCTGAGGCTGAGGCAGGCTGAGGCTGAGGCTGAGGCAGGCTGAGGCTGAGGCTGAGGCTGAGGCTGAGGCTGAGGCTGAGGCAGGCTGAGGCTGAGGCCGAGGCTGAAGGCTGAGGCTGAGGCTGAGGCTGAGGCTGAGGCTGAGGCTGAGGCTGAGGCTGAGGCAGGCTGAGGCTGAGGCAGGCTGAGGCTGAGGCCGAGGCAGGCTCAGGCCGAGACAGGCTGAGGCTGAGACTGAGGCTGAGGCTGAGGATGAGGCCGAGGCAGGCCGAAGCTGAGACAAGGTGAGGCTGAATGGGGGGGGGAAGGGGGGGGAGGCTGAGGCAGGCTGAGGCCGAGGCAGGCTGAGGCCGAGGCAGGCTGAGGCTGAGGCTGAGGCAAGCCGAGGCAGGCTGAGGCTGAGGCTGAGGCTGAGGCTGAGGCTGAGGAGGCTGAGGCTGAGGCAGGCTGAGGCTGAGGCTGACGCAGGCTGAGGCCGAGGCAGGCTGAGGCTGAGGCAGGCTGAGGCTGAGGCCGAGGCAGGCTGAGGCTGAGGCTGAGGCAAGCCGAGGCAGGCTGAGGCTGCGGCTGAGGCTGAGGCAGGCTGAGGCATCCGTAGGAATCCATATGAATCCTTAGGAATCCGTAGGCATCCTTAGGAATCCGTAGGCATAGTTAAGCATCCTCAGGAATCCTTAGGAATCCTTAGGATTCCCTAGGAATCCTTAGGAATCTCTAGGAATCCATAGGAATCAGGATTCCTAAGGATTCCTAAGGTTGCCTAAGGAGTCCTATGGATTCCTAAGGATGCCTAAGGCTTCCTTAGAAATCCTCAGGAATCCTTAGGATTCCATTGGATCCTAAGGCCGTTGCCACTGCGACTGTCATTGCGAATGCGTTTGCGACTGCGAGAACAGCAGAATTCTACAACTGGATTCTCACCGGAATCGTAAGGGGAATGCTTCCAGTCGCCTGGGGGAGGGGGGTGTATATGAATAGGGAACATTGATGTATAGAACCGACCCCAGAAAGGCACCCTGATTGGACAAGGTTCGTGGCAGGCAGTTCTGCGTGTGTCTTGCGCGTGCAAAGGCCTCGCGCGTCTCACGCGCGCGCGCGCGAGGGTCCCGCAACGCACCGCGCGCCGACTGCACCAACTCCTGGGCCAGGTCCGCAGTGCTCCAGCTGCACGGGGCGAGGGCGCCTGCTCGCAGGATGCCTGGAGCACGCTGCTGGGGGCCTCCCCCACGCACAGCGTGGCTGCACTCTGCACTCAGGATGCGCAGGCGAAGAGAGGGGAGGAGGAGGAAAGAGGAGGAAAGAGGAGCGAGAAGGGGCCGAGGGGAGGGGCGACCGTGGCTGAAATCGGCGGACCTGCGCCCTCCAGGGACCACGCGGCGTGCTGGTCTTACTTCAGGCCCGCAAGGGACCTTGGGGGCGGACCCGGGAGCACCCGCGAAGCCGGAGGCGAGGGCCGTAGGCGAGGGGGCAGGGGGAGGGGGTCGAGGAAGCGCCGGCCAGCATGATCTCCGGGAGGGGGGGGAGGCAGCAGCGACAGGGAGCGCCAGCTGGAGTGGATAGTCCACGTCGCCACGGCTGGAGTCTCTTCGAAGTGCTGGCCAAAAAGCGCCTCGAGAGAAGTCCGGGGAGCGGCAGTTTTCCCCGAGGAGCAACACATGGCGTAAGCATAAATATTCGGAGGCCCGCTCGAATTTCTTGGATCTGCGCTGGGGCCCCCGGGCGGCGCCTCCAGGGCGGGGGGGGGGAGGCGCAGGGCGAGAGACAGGTCCGTGTCCACAGCCTGACGGGGCCATCATGAAAATGACGCGACCCAACCCGAAAGTTGGCGCGAGCTCCCGCCGCGGACATCGCACGAAAACTGGACCGTCAAAACCGAGGACGCGCTCGTCCAAGAAGGCCGGCAAGCCCGAGTCCCGCCGGCGCACTCGAGTCTGTCTCTCGTTGCCCCGAGCAGAGGGGCCCCGCAACGACAGAGGGGGCGCCAGCCGGTGGTTTCAGAAGGGGGGCGGGGGGTTGGCGAGGTCTGAGGGCGCAAACTGCACACCTGCACCGATCCTGGGCCCAGGATGGGCCTGGCCAGGATCGGTACTGGTGTATTGTGGATGCCCGCCGACGAGGGGCGAGAGGACAACGCGCACCCATACTCATAGGGGGGTCGTTGGGAGGAGGACTGGCTATGGGTATGGGTGCGGGTTGTCGGACCCTGGGGGACGCTCCCGTTCGAGCGGGGACCCCCATCCGACAACACGCACCCATCGCCCTCTCCGATCCCCCTGTGGGTATGGGTGTGTGTTGTGGGTTCGTCAGACGAGGGGCGAGAGGCAGGTCTGTGTCCACAGCCCCGCGGCCCCGCACGCCCGGGCCGCGGCCCCCTGGGCAGGCCGGGCGCCTCTGCGCCAGGGGTGCCCCGCGCGGAGCGCGCCCGTGGGATCGCGCCGCGAGGCCGCGACGGCCTGGTTGCTCCAGATTTCGTAATAAAGGGAGGGGGGTCTCATTTCGGGGGGGGGTCTCTTCCAGGCTATCTTGGAGGGCCTGGGGGGATGATGTTTTGGAGTGTTCTCCCACGGGGGGGGTCTGAAATGGCTTGACTTGGAGGGTCCAGACCCCCTCCCTTTTATTACGAAATCTGGAGCACTCCTCGCGGGGGCGGGGCGAAGCGGGCGATCCCGGGCACCGCGAGGGAGCCGCCGACCCAGACGTGCGACGCCTCTGGGCTTCTTCCGTGTGGGACCTCCGGACGCCCCGACTCTGCGGGGCCAGCTTCGACGATCCGGACCGGCGAGGGCCCCCGAGGCCGACAACGGCCAAGCGCATGCATGTGGCGAGGGGCGACGGGGCGGCAGGTATCGGAGGGGAGGGGGGGAGCGCAGAGGGGGAGTGTCCTGCTCTGCCGCGCTGTCGCCCTCAAAGAGCACGGTGAGCCTGGGGCGCGCGCGCGCGCCACTGGCAGGAAGCCTCGGGGGTTGCTTTGTGGAGGGGGGCGGATGGACCGCTAGGGGGGGGCCTTCTTACCCCCCTCTCGCCCGATCGCTCGCAGCCCAGAGACGACCATGCGGCATGACTCCTCCTCCTCCTCCTCCGAGCATCAGTATCAACACTAGCCATGTATTATTACGAGTATGAATGCCATTATCATGGATACTAAGGTTATTATCATCAGTAGCATTAGTAATCGTACTACAAGTATTCGTACTATGGTTTGCAATAGTGATACGTTTGATCACATGTAGTTATTATCAATCGTATGAACAGCATGGTTTGCCTTGTGTTCCTCCTGCTGTTCCTCCTCCTCCTCCGCCTCGTCCTCGTGCTATTACAATGAGTAGTAATGTAGTAGTAGTACTACTACTACTACTACTACTACTACTACTACTACTACGACTACGACTACAACTACGACTACGACTACGACTACGACTACGACTGCGACAGCGACTACGACTCTCACAACTACTACTACTACTACTACTACTACTACTACTACTACTACTACTACTACTACTACTACTACTACTACTACTACTACGACTACTACGACTACTACGACTACTACGACTACTGCGACTACTACGACTACTACGACTACTACTACGACTACGACTACGACTACGACTACGACTACGACTACGACTTACTACTACTACTACTACACTACTACTACTACACTACTACTACCACTACTATTAACTACTACTACTTACTACTACTACTACTACTACACTACTACTAACTACTTCTACTACTCTACCACTACGACTACCACTACCACTACCACTACCATACCACTACCACTACCACTACCACTAATACTACCACTAATACTACTACTACTACTACTACTACCGACTACTACTACTACTACTACTCTACTACTACTACTACTACGACCGACGACGACGACGACGTCGACTATACTACTACTACTACTACTACTATACGACTACGACTACTACTACTAATACTACTACTACTACTACTACTACTACTATACGCGAACTACTACTACTACTACTACTACTACTACTAACTACACTACTACTACTACTACTACTACTACTACTACTACTACTACATTACTACTACTACTACTACTACCACTACTACTACTACGACTACTACTACTACTACTACTACTACTACTAACTACTACTACTACTACTACTACTACTACTACTACTACTACTACTACTACTACTACGACTACTACTACTACTACTACGACTACTACGACTACTACGACTACTACTACTACTACTACTACTACTACTACTACGACGACTACGACTACGACTACGACTACGACTACGACTACGACTACGACTACGACTACGACTACGACTACGACTACGACTACGACTACGACTACGACTACGACTACGACTACGACTACTACTACTACTACTACTACTACTACTACTGCTACTGCCATTGCTACTATGTCATTATTCTCAGTCGTTTTACGCTATGAACTGTTTTGTGTGTTCCTCCTCCTCCTCCTCCTCCTCCTCCTCCTCTTCCTCCTCCCCCCCTCCTTCATTTCCTCCTCATCCTCAGCCGTTTCCTCCCCTTCCTCCTCGGTCATTCGGTGATGCGGATGTTTGTCTGTCCACTGCGAACTGGAGCCCTCGCCCCCGCCCCTCCTCGCCCCACCAGCACGGCATCGCTGGCGGGGCCCGGGGGCTACAGGCTACAAAGAGGGGCCGGCATCACCACAGAGAGCTGACTTCCTTCCCCAACGGCCGAAGCCCTCCCGAAACCATCCGAAAAATCTCCTGGAAGGGTTCTGAGAGGCTTTTCGGAGGGTTTTTCGGAGGGTTCTGAGAGGCATCACAAAAGGAAGCTGATCTCCTTCCAAAACAGCCGAAACCCTCCCGAAACCATCCGAAAGCCCTCCTGGATGGGATCTGAGAGGCTTTTCGGAGGGTTGCGGGAGGGTTCTGGAAGACTTTTCGCTGTTTTGGGGGGGAAACCCAGTCCCTCGCGAACCAAGGCGTTCTCAGGCTACCCCAGGGTGAAGGGAGAACGAGGACGGGGAGGGCACGGGAGGACACAGCAGCAGGAGGAGCGAGAGAGGCAAGGAGAAGGAGAGCAGCAGGCACGAAGAGGAGGAGCGGGCGAGAGGAGGGAGAGGCCCCAGCAAATAAAGGAGCCCCCCAAGCGACCCATATACAGATGGATGCTGGCACACCCCTGACGGGGGGGGGTGCTGGAGGGGGTCGCCAGAGAGCTGGGGCCTAGTGGGACAACACTGTGCCAAGTCGTGCCGGTTGTTCCCGAGCCCCCCCCACCCACCCCACCTATACTCCTCTACCCCCCGCCCGTAGCGCCCCGTACCGCAAGGCGGCTGACGGCGCGCGACGCGCCAAGGCGCCCCAAACTTGATCCCTGGCGCGCCTGGGGCATAGGGGGTGACTACCTACCAGACCACCCCAACCCAACCCGAAGACCCGAATTTCGGGTTGGGGAGGGTACGGGTTCCATGTGTGTGTGTTCTCGATGTTCCCCTACCCCCCCCCAACTGGAAATGGAGGGCAAATCGAGATCTTCGGATTGGGTTGGGGTGGTTAGGTGGGTGGTGAGGGGGGGGGCCGAAAAGCGGCGGCCCCTTCTCCAAAGCCCCCGCCTCCAACTTGTTCCCCAGAGTTCGCTTGGGGGGCACGAGGGCGGGGACCCAGGACCAAGACAGAGCCGGACTAAACCAAGCTAAAGCACACTCAATCCGAGTAAACCAGACTACAACAAAACACTGAAACCTCGCGCTGAGACAGAACCGGACTACTGCATCCGATGAGGTCACCACCCAGGACGCCGACGGGTGAAGCGAGAGGCTCCCGTCATTCTGGACCGAAGGGCGGGGAACCCTGCTGTAGGGCTCCACCCCTGCGAGAAGCTGGCGCCCCTCCGAGGCGGCGGCCTGGCAGGGCGGCGAGACGGGGAGAAAGGCCAAGCTCCAGGCTTAGGCAGCGTGGTGGCACGATCTCTTGTGCAGGGCCGAAGGCTCAGGGCTGCAGACGCCCAGGAACGGGCGGTCCAAGGGTGCAACCACTCTGCGCGCTTGAACCACGCGCTTTCAACGCCCCGCTTGACGCCCCCCCCTGATGCACTCCCTTGACGCCCCCCCATTGGCGGCCGGCCGGGCGGTGAGACCGTGAGAGAGCCAAGCTCCGGCTGAGAGCGATTCGAAGCAGGCCTGCGCGCCCCTTGCCCGCAGGAGGCCGCAGGACTGGATGGCGGTGCGACATTCGCCCTCGTCATTTGGATCCTCGAGTCGTTCGCCGAGGTCTTGGAGGAAGATGCTTCAGGGTTGCTTAGACAACATGGTTGTAAGGATCCCTCTGGCGAGGTGGCTGACCAGCGCCCTCTTCGAGGGTATTCTGCACGGTGGCCGCAGCGCAGGCCACCATCCAGCCCCTCAGGCCATGATCAAACACACACGCGCTGGGCTGGCAGTGCTACTGATTTATCGTCGGCGGCGCCTGGCCCCAGGAGGCCCGTCATCACCACCATCGCCAGCAATCTCCATGTCTACTCGGGGGGAATATGGATCGTCACGAACAACGTCCATTTGTGTTCAAACGTCCGTTCACACACAAACACACACACACACCACGAGGACCAATACGATATCGAACATGTCAGAGCTGAAAAGGCAACGGGAATGATAATACATTCCGTACTACGTCATGACTGGCGAGCGGGATGCCACGCACACAGTTCCGGGTGCCACGTGGTATATATCATCGCAACGGAGGGGCCGTGAGAAAGAATACCTATACGACCACCCTTCGGGTGATAAAGAGGTTGTGTGGGGGGGAGAGGGGGGGGAACCAAAATCTGACTCAATCGATCTCACTATCGATCTCACTCAACGGGACACCACGGGACACCACGGGACACTTGTCGATCTCACTATCGATCTCACTATCGATCTCACTCAACGGGACACCACGGGACACCGCGGGACACCACGGGGCACCGCGGGACACCGCGGGACACCTCTCGATCTCACTATCGGTCTCACTATCGATCTCACTATCGACCTCACTCAACGGGACACCATAGGACTCCACGGGACACCACGGGACGACACCACGGGACACCTCGGGACACCACATCGATCGCACTATCGATCTCACTAACGATCTCACCATCGATCTCACTATCGATCTCACTCAACGGGACACCACGGGACACCACGGGACACCACGGGACACCGCGGGACACCGCGGGACACCACGGGACAACTGTCGATCTCACTATCGATCTCACTATCGATCTCACTTTTTGGGACATCATCACGGAACACCACGGGACACCTCGGGGCACCACATCGATCTCAGTATCGATCTCACTACCGATCTTACTATCGATCTCACTATCGATCTCACTCAACGGGACACCACGGGACACCTCGGGACACCACGGGACACCACGGGACACCGCGAGCCACCGCCGGACGCACGGACGAACGGGCAGGCGGGGGAGAATCATTTGTCTTGACTTCGCCCTGGCAACAGCAAGGTCATTCCTCTCGTGCGCCCACGCAGCTTCGCCTCGCCCGCACGCACGACACGAACGAAGCAAAACGATTTCCCGGTTGGGCGTCTCCGTTCCACTGCGATCTCACCCCCCAACATCCGATTCGTACAAAGCAGCGAGCGGAATCCCAATCACAAGAGGCAGGCATCAACCTGGAGCAACTATCATCACACGGGGAGTGCAATCTAAAAAGCATAGGGCAGACAGCCTAGCTCCTTGGCGTCTCATGCTATGTTCGCTACATGCTTAGTACATGTGTCTCCTCTCAGAGCTCCATAAATCTTCCATCCTCTCCTATGTTGTTCTCCTCCCCCTCCTTCTCTTTCCTCTCTCCTCAGCATTCCCTCTCTCTCTCTCCGTATCTCCTCTTCATCCTATCCATTCCTCTGTCATTATTCCTCTCTGTCCCTCCTCTCTGCCCAAACTCTGCCCCATAATGGTCCAAAAGGGTCACGCACGGGGCCTGGATGAATCATTCCGGGACTATGCCGAACCATGCTGAAACATGGCGCGCCTCCCCAGGGACTTGATTGGGTCTGAGTGTAGTCTTACCTATCTCTGGGCAGTTTCGACCGAGTTTTGACAAGGATTTCGAAAGAGAATCCAGCAGCGGTGACGAGAGCGCCCCAAGAAATGCAAAAGGGACGACAACGCGTGCACACACATACACACACACACAAACACACACACACACACGCACACAAACAAAAAGCACACGCACACACACACACACACACACACACACAAACTCACACTCATTAACAAACAACACAAACAACAAGCAAACACTCCTCCTCCTGTTCCTCCTCCTCCTCCTCCTCCTCCTCTTACTCCTCCTCCTCCTCTTCCTCGCCCCCTCTCCCTCTTTATCGAGAGGAAGAAGACCGCCCGCGGGGAGGGCGGCAGCCTGATCTTCGGGTTGAGGAGGCCTTTACTCTTCTGTTTCATGCTGTACAGGACGTCCTGGTGCGGCCCTTCGGCCATCGATCCAACCATCTGCTGACCTCGTCCCCATCCTCTTCCGTCTCGGCATCATCCTCTTTCCTCAGCTTCTCCCCTCCTGCTCCTCCCCCTCCCTCCTCCCCTCGGTCCTCCCCCCCTTCGGGGGGCGGGGGGGGCTCTGTCTCCACTGGCGGACCCGCGCTTGGGGCTCAAGATGCACCGAACTTCGGCAGGCAGCTGAGGAGCAGCTCGCGAGGCCGGCCCACGCGGACCCGGCTGGAGTGAGCGACGGAAAGGGTGGGGCGCACGGGAGCAGACCTCGAGCCTCTCGTAAAAATTCAGCGTTCATCCCATCCAGCACATGGTTAGTCCACTTGTGAGTTCGTCATCGGGTGTCCTCATTCAGTTTGGCCCCGTGCTCCGATGGCCGCTCAGGTCCTGCAGCTTGTCCTTTCCTTCCCGGTTCAGGACGTCCTTCTCCACATCTAGTTTCTTGACCGCCAGCAC